TGTCCTTCAATTGGAGAAAACTCCCCACGCGCCCCGCAGGCGCGGTAAAAAGGAGGTGCGACAATAGGGGCGTACTTTTGACACTGTTCACACTTCCTGACGTAGTCCGCGACTTATTTTTTCATGGTGGGATAGTAGTATCCGACGCGGATGAGGCATCGGATGAGGGCACGGTTTCCCGTGTGGGCGCCGCAGTGCCCCTCATGTACTTCTTCCAGTACTCACCTTGTTTGATTTGGCCCAAGACATTTGTCTAGGGGGCCGCCGAACGTTCTCTTATAGAGATCACAGTTTACGAGGTTGTATCTCGCTGCCTGTAGTCGAAGCTTTTTGGCTTCTTTTTTATCTTGTGGGAGCGTTCCATCCTGCAAATATGTTAGGAGACGTTTGCGCCAGTCCCAAGTTAGGCTTACAGAATGTACCTCGACTTGGTCTATTACGGAATGGAGAAGGGTGACCATGTTTTCCTTGTTGATATTTTTGGTGGCTGCCGCTAGCTTGGCAAGTCCGTCTGCTTCGATATTCTGCGCCCTAGGTATTTGGTCGAGGCGGCATTCATCGAACTCTGGCAGCAGTTTGTGAATTTCTGACTGGTACTTTTGTAGTCTCTGTTCTTTGATTTGGAAAGTCCCGGTGACTTGGTTTACTACGAGTTGAGAGTCGCAATGGAGGACGAGTCGTCGCGTGCCGTATTTGAGGGCTAATTTCAACCCTGCAATCATAGCTTCATACTCGGCCTCGTTGTTAGTCATCTCCAGGCATCATATGGACTAGCGAATTACTTTTCCCGTAGGAACCTCGAGGATGAGTCCCAGTCCTGATCCCGATGCATTAGATGCGCCATCAGTGTAGAGGACCCAAAGGTCGGAATATGCGGAAGCGCGGAGCGCCTCCTGCTCTACTTCAGGCAATATTTCTGCGCTGAAATCAACGATGAAATCGGCGAGCACCTGCGACTTAATGGCAGTTCATGGTTGGTATGTTATGTCGTGCTTGCTTAATTCTATGGCCCATTTGGCCAGTCTACCTGATAGTTCGGGTTTGTGTAGGATGCCCCTCAGGGGGAAGGTTGTCACCACTTTTATGGGGTGATATTGAAAATATGGTCTAAGCTTTCGTGAAGCTACGACTAATGCCAAAGCTAGTTTTCAAGGTGAGGGTACCTTGTTTCGGCATAAATTAAGGTTTTGCTGATATAGTAAATCGGAGATTGCGTGCCTTTGTTTTCGTGGATCAAGACTGCACTTACTGCAACTTCGGAGACTGCTAGGTATACTAGTAGGCATTCCCCCGAGTCTGCCTTGACGAGCAGTAGTGGCGAGGATAGATACGCTTTTAGCTTCCTTAAGGCGTTGATGCATTCTGCATTCCACTGTAGTCTGTGGTCTTTCCTTAGCACATTGAAGAATTTATGGCATTTGTCCGATGATCGTGAAATAAACCTCGACAGGGCGGCTATTCGTCCTGTTAATTTCTGCACCTGCTTCTTGATGGTCAATATCTCTGGTATTCCTTCGATGGCCCTGATCTGATCCGGGTTGACCTCGATACGCCTTTATGACACTAAAAAAATAAGGAACTTTCCTAAAGTTACGCCGAAGGCGCATTTTTTGGGATTCAGCTTCATCCCGTATTCCCTTAATATCTTGAAGGCTTCCTTCAGATGGTCAATGTGATCCTCTTTCTTTTTCGACTGTACCAACATGTCGTCGATGTAAACCTCCATGGTCTTACCGAGTTGTTCTTTGAACATCTTGGTGACTAACCTTTGATACGTCGCCCCTGCGTTCCTGAGTCCGAACGACATTACCTTGTAGCAATACGTTCCTCGGTGAGTGATGAAAGTGGTCTTTTCTTGGTCTTCTTTAGCCATCAGAATTTGGTTGTAACCAGAGTAAGCGTCTAAGAAGCTCAGTAGTTCGTGTCCCGCCGTTGCGTCGATGAGCTGGTTGATGTGTGGTAATGGAAAGGAATCTTTCGGGCATGCTTTGTTTAAGTCGGTGAAGTCGACACACATCCACCATTTCCCATTTTTCTTTTTGACCATGACCACATTGGCGATCCATTGGGGATATTTTGACTCTCGGATGGAGCCATTAGCGAGTAATTTATCAACCTCTTCGCTGACCGCCTCATTGATGGCGGTGTTGAACTTTCTCCTCATTTGTCGTACTGGCAGGTAAAGAGGATCAATATTCAGTCTATGTGTGGCGATATCCCTTGGGATTCCTGGCATATCTGAATGGGAAAAGGCAAACAAATCGGCATTGTTAGTTAAAAACTCACGATATTTACTTGGTTCTAAGAGGTTGTGTCCGATGTAAGCCTTTTTCGTGCTATCGATGTTTTTCCAGTTGGACGGGGTCGAGGTCTTCTATGGTTGCCTTGCAAGCTTCTATGACATCCAGGTCTTTGATGGCCTATATTTGTACGTTGGGTTTGGCTCCCGATATGGCTGATTGCTATGCTTATGCACTTGCCCCTTTTAGTTGTTTGGTGTGTGTGCAATCTTGGGCAATCCGGTAGCATTCTTGGGCCGTGCATTGCTCGCCTCGAATGCTGAATATCCCCCATGGGGTGGGAAATTTGATTACTTGATAGAAACTTGACGGGATGGCTCGTATGGCGTGTATCCATGGGCGCCCTATGATGGAGTTGTAGGTTGTTTCCTAGTTCATGACATGGAACGTCGTCTCCAGGGTGACTCCTCCTGCCAGGATAGGTAGCACTATCTCTCCAGAGGTTCGTTCCACTGCATTATTAAAACCCGTCAGTGTTATGCAATGCGGTACTATTTTATATTCAAGCCTCATCTGCATGCGAACTCGTGGGTGAATAATACACGTGTTGCTTTCGTCATCCACCATTATTCTTTTTACGTCGGTATCCGCGATGCGTAAAGTTATAACTAAAGTATCATAGTGAGGGAAAGACAAACTGTTGGTATTTGACTTATCGAAGATGATACAATCTTCGAGGTCATCATACCATTCATGGGCGACTGTCCGTTTGAGTTTTTGTGTGGTGGTGAACTTCACATGGTTGATCATCGTGTCATCGCCACCACCAATGATCATTTGTATGGTACGGGCTGGTGATGGTGGTTTTGGAGGTCCCAGAGGTTGATCGCGTCCACGAGCGAAGTTGGCCCGTCCTCGGTCGCTCAGCAGTTCTTTCAGGTATCCCTGGTTTAACATTCTTACCACTTCCTATCGTAGACCTATGTAGTCCTTGGTTTTGTGTCCCCTTTCCTGGTGGAACTCACACAGAATGTTTGATCTCCTGGTGCTCGGATCTGATTTCATCTTTTGCGGCCACTGCACCTTTGTGCCGAGCCTTTCCAGTGCGTACACTATTTCTGAAGAAGAAACACAAAAGTTATGAGCAGATAATAGTGGAGGCATACCTCTTTCGCTTCGGGGTGGTGCGATGTGACGGGGCATGGCATATGTATGTCGTGGAGGAGGTGGGTTGGATGTTCGGACATAGGGCTGGTGCCTTTCTTGGTTGAAACGTGGTAGTTGATCCCTTCGGCCGTCGTTGCGGCGATCCCTCCTTGTCTCGGTTTGGACCGAGGTTAGTCGCTGGATCGGGCCATTCAGGTCATCCTCGTCTGCCCTCACTTTGGTGCAATAGGCATTATGGATCTCTTCCCACGTGGTGGGGGGGGAGGGGTACTTCATGAGTCTACTTAGCAACTTCTTGGTGGCTTTTGACCCGTTTCTGTTCAACCCATTTTGAAAGGCTACTACCGCCATCCCTTCTGACACGTTCGGTAGGCTCATCCTTACCATGTTTAATCGAGCTAGGAAATACCGAAGTCCCTCGCTTGTTATTTGTCTGACGGTGAAGATATCATTTACCCTGGCCTCTACCTTTTACGCTCCCGCATGAGCGGTGATGAACTTATCCGCCATTTCTTCGAACGTTGATATTGATCGTGCTAGTAGTTGGGAATACCATGTCAACACTCCCCCTGTTAGAGTTTCGCCAAACGTTTTCAGCAGTACTGACGGCACATGTTCTTTTGATAGATCGTTACCTTTTACTGCAGTAATGTAATGGATCAAGTGATCTTCCGGATCCGTGGTGCCATCATATATCTTCAGATATGGCGGCAATTTGAAGGTTTTTGGAATAGAGTGGGGAGTGCCCCTTCGCTTTATGGTTGTTCGACGAATTGGCCCACGTCACATTTTGGTAGCAACTTCGGAGCGCCCGGTATTTTATCAACCCTTTCTTGATGCTCCTTTATCTAGTCGCGGAGTGTTTTGTTCTCATTTTCCATCTCTTCCATTTTCTTTAAGACGGCTGCAAGTGCATCGTTGCCTGCATCAGCGACAGTACGAGTGTTACCTGTTTGTGTAGTTTCTGGCTCATCGGCAACAGCAGCGGTTTCTACGGGCAATGTANTGTGGGGGGGGGGTGAGATCTCTCCCTCAGGTGTAGCAGTTGGTGTTATGTTTTCGTTGTCTTCTCCACTGACTTCATTGAAGGAATTCAGGAGGTTGTTCGTGACACCTACTATTGCCTTTAGCCTTACTTCTCCCTTTCCTGCCATTGTTGGCCTTTGTGAGACTGAAATGAGGTGATTATTTCTTTCAAGAATCTAGACGAAACTAAGGTCTCAGCTATAGAAATCCCCACAGACGGCGCCAAATTGTTTGACTCAAAATATATCGAAACCTTTTTGAACAAATCAATCAAAGAAGTTGAAGGGGTAAATCTTAGCTAAGTATAATAATCTCTAGAATGAAAGATGGATAAAGCAAATAATGATAAGAATTCCTTATCTCGTTCAGGCCAAAAAAAAGACATTTAACAATAATCTTCTCAATCCTCTATGTAAGCAAGTTTACAGTAAGTATTATGGATTAGCCGAAAGAGAGTCCCCTTACAAAGTTGTTTCATGCTCTATATATAAGGAACCCAACCTTGCTGAGCTCTAAAAAACAAGCTATAGGGAATATTCAAGAGAATATTTCCGATGTCCCCTAATGGGCCTGCACTACTGCGATAGTCGTACCGTCTCTTTTTTGCCTTAAGATCGCTCTCTGCAAAATGTCGAGCTGTGTGGATCTCGTCGTTCGTCGTGTTCATCCACGGTCGGGTTTGTCCAAATTTGGACCCATACACTTACTATGTTACGCTGTTCTAAGCGTCGACACATAGAAGCCACCATTGTTTGTATGTCTCATTTCTTCCCAACGGAGTAATAATTTTGTTGAATGTCCTTTTTGTTTCTCCAATATTTCTCACTGTTTTATCATCCCTAGTTTTCCACTTCACTAGAATTAGATTTAAATTCTTTTTCGAAGATTCTTCTTTCAGTTGGGTGCCAAGGAGTCAACTATAGCTCGGATCTTTAAAAAAACAGCTTTAATATGAGATATATTTCCCAAAAAAAAAAAAAAGTTCATCCCACAATACACAAAAGAAAAAAGTTTTTTGTTAAAAAAAATAACAAAAAGCATACTAATTCAAGGGCAGAATTTCGACAAGGTATGCAACTTCTTCATCACAACTACAAGCGTCACAACGAAAATCATCTTCATCTTGGTCGTCAGTGTCAAAAGAAGGCCATTGACGCCACTTATTTTTGTAAGAGCGCTTATGATGAAGGGTGCAGCAATATGGGTTTTGTGCCAAGAAGATTGGATTGAGTACCCAAATACTATTCAATATTTCAACCAAGTTTTTTCGGCACTCTCCTAATGCTCTCCTCATTGGCTTGTTTGCTTTCATTTTGCCAATTGCAGTTATGCCATTTTGCTTGAATTCTCCACCTATGAAAACATGGATTATGCTTATCACATATTTTGCTCCAAGATGTCCTGCTTCTGCAGCTTTAACTAGGCATTCTATTGCATATGTTGGTCTTTCTTTCCTAAAGAAATCAACCTAAAGTGGCAGGAAAAAAAAAAGTTCTTATATCCATACTAAAATATTCAAAAGAAGAATAAGTTAACAGAAATAAAATTTTTTATAGGAAACTGATTCTATTAATTGATTAATTAACTAACTAATTAGGGACAACCAGGATAAAACAACTAGAACGATATCTTTCTTTCCCACAATATTTAGGAAAATTAGAACAATAATGTCAATTTGAGTAAGCAACCTCCACTTCCAACTAAGAGGTTGTGAGTTGAGTCTACCCAAGAGCAAGGTGGGAAGTTCTTGGAGGGAATGATGCCGAGGGTCTATTTGGAAACAATCTCTCTACCCCAGGGTAGGGGTAATGTCTGCGTACACACTACCCTCCCCAGACCCCAATAAGTGGGATTATACTGGATTGTTGTTGTTGTTGAGTAAACGGCAGTACTTTGCATGTTAATATTCTTATGTATTCTGAATATAAAAAAATAAAAATTAAAAATTAAAAATCGATTTGTTACTTTCCATGCATCGACACCAACTTCTACAATATAAATAAGTAATATTATAATTTCATCGTTTTGACTGTCCTTTTTCTTTCTTTCTTTCTTTCTTTCTTTCTTTTTCCTCTTTCCCTGTGACATACATCGGGGCGGATATAATATAGAGTTATCGGGTTCAACTGAACCCAGTAATTTCGGTACAAAGCGTAAATTTATGTGTAAAAATTACTATAATTATTATAAATAGTAAAAATAAACCCCCATAACTTTAAAAATATAATGAATTCAATGCTAAAAACTTTAAATATTGAACCATAGAATGAATCCGCCGCTTGACCGCCCCTGAAATACATCACATATGCCATGCAAAAATACATTCAGCAGGGCGGCCCAAAGGTCAAGCCACTAAAGCAAAAGCTTTAGGCCTCCAAATTCTGGGGCCCCAAATTTTTGTTTTTGTTTTCTACTCGTATTTGTATTGGGACCCGACTAATTTAGATTCCGCATAAGGCCTAGTAAAAGAGTGAACACATTTTAATATGATTTGTTTAACCACATACAGGACTCGAACCCGCCAATATATTTAATTAAGGTAAGTTGGATCATATACATCTCACAGCAATATTTATAGGTAGGGCTTAGATATATTGGATATTTTAAAATAAAAAAGTAAAATATTTTATAAAAGGTAAATCTAAAAAATAAGACTCTTGGACTATTGAAGATACCAAAAAACGGATTCAAAAAGTTTATTACACGTTTTTAGTGAGAAATATAAAAGGAGAATAATAATATAGGTGCTTCACTAATTATGTTAATCGTAAAATTTAAATAATAAAATGTTTTATATTCGCGACAAGATTTTAGGGGGAATGATTCTCTTTTTCCAATTAAAAGTTATATTGTTCTTTGTAGAAAGAACAAAATTTTATTTTTTCTATATAAACAAGAATTGAAGAGTACTATTGAATAAAACTATATTCGCATTCTTTTTACCCCTTTTTCCCTCACGTTTCAAGCGTTTCAACAAGTATATTAGAACATCAAAAATTATTTCGATATCAAGTTATCAACTTCTTGAATCTGGTTTTATTATCTAAGATCAACAATATTTTAGGGGAGACTAAATTATTTATAAAATGAAACTATTAACAACTTTACATTTAAAAAGCTAGAAAAATAGACTTTAATTAAAAATATAGATGAATTATTTTTTTCTTCTGAAAGGTCCCATATTAAAATTTGGCTTTAGACCACCAATCATGTTGAGCCGCCCCTGACATTCATCCACAATAAATATTGGACGAAAGAAATCAAAAGACTATAGAATGAATTACGCAAAAGAATATTACTTACCACACCTTTTCGGTACAACGCTTCAGCATTCCCACTCTCCGTACACATTCTCATGAACAAAGAAAGCTTTTTTTCCTTCTCTTCCTTGTCTCTTTTCCATGAAGGTCCTAGAGGGAATTCCTCCATTGACATGTGACGATAAATATATCGATCGTTCGAAACTCCATTGAAGATTTTACAGCTGACATGAATGCATATATAGATATATATATATATAATGTCAAAACAAAACTAAAAACATATATAGAATACAACATGTAGAAACAATGTTGAAGAAATACAAACCTGAGCTTGACATTGATATAATCTGTAAAAGAAAAGGAAGCAACTCTTGCAATAACTTCAGAGAGTAGCTCATTCGGAAGAGATTTGATATTGGAGGAATTGACAACACTCTTTTTTAGCTTTTTGTTATGTTTTGTTGGTCTTCTTTTCATTATTTCTCTTGATCAATGACTTATCGCTATTGTGATGCCTAATTAGTGAGGGAAAAAAGATAGATTTTATAGTATCTGATCAATTTCCTATATATTTTCCTTCTTTGAGTAGAATTCGGTGTTAGAAAAACGAAAAGGAATAATTTTCTTTTTTTAGTTTCTTGAAAATTTCTGTTGTTATCAGGTGGTAACGAGAAATATAAAAAAGTATATAGCACCGCTTGTCCACTCCTTTTCCTATGCGTATTTGGAACAATCTGTCCACTTTGTAAAAAATCAAAAAAATTGGATTACTGTTTTAGAAACTTCTTTTCAATTTTGTTTTTGGAGAATGACATAATATATAATTGGTAGTATAAAATATTGAAAATGAAAAATAACTCAACTTTGAATGGTATTGGGTGTTAGGAAAAGAATTTCTTACAAAATAGCCAAATATTGTTAGGTTCCTGAATTTCTCCGTATAATTAGAAGGTGATATAAATAGCACCACTATTTCACTCCTTTCTTATGTGTACTTTATTTTCTCATCCTTTTCCTATGTGTACTTAGGACTAGTAAGTTTCTTGCCATTATAAAAACTTTCTCTCCACTTTGTAAAAACAAAGAATGTTTTATGGACATCAATTTTTCGGAAAAAGAAAGGACTCAATTTTAGAAAAACTCGATAACATTTCTATTAAGTTAACTTTCCGCTCTAGTAACTGGTAAAAAGTAATTTTTAAATTATTATTTTCTGCAGTATGAAATAAAATTGAATTTGGATTTTCAGGTAGACTCAACTTATTTTCATTGACAATATAAATAACTTTTTACCTATCAATGTATTACCGGTTGTAACAAGTTATTTTCTAAGTTACAAAATTAGGTTTATCATACATAGTTACATGTTATTGTATTATTTGTAACAATAGAAGGAATATGTAATGGTGGAATTATATTAGTGCTCCCGCATTATATCATAAAGGTATTAGTAGTTTCACTTTTCATACGAAAAAACACAATAATAAGTGCTTTATTGCATAGAACTATTTTTTTCAGTTAGAATCCAGATTACATGTGGATCCCATGTCCAATAATCCTATTTCCTGTTGAGAGACTTCATTGTCTCTCTGCTAAAGAATAGCGTCAAAGAATGTAGAGGAAAACCGAATAGTGATGACATCCTGCATCATCATTTATCTTTCTGTCTAAACCAAATGCACAGAGAATTCTATATTTTGGGACATTAGAATTGAGTCAGTAATTTTCTTCCATCGTCCTCATTAGGCAACTGTGAAAGGATTAAGGAAGACAGCTTCTCCTTGCACGATCAGTATGTATCGCTTGGGGTGATATTGGTCAACAGCAAGAAGCATGAGCCAAGATGTAGTTGGTTGATGAACAAGATTGCTACATTAACAACACTTTCCATATCTTTCTCATATACACGACCAGCGACCATACAGCAAGCCATGCTGATATATATAGCAAGATCACACCAGAACCCACAAGAGTTCCAACACCAGATAAACTAGAGAGAAAAAAGTTAAAGATGTCAAAGCATTATTAGATTTCAATCACGGCTCATGCAAGAGACTGAAAACAGAAAGTTACCTGCTATCTCTGGCTAGGAGGAGGATGGTCAATGCAGTCATCTGAGTGGCTGTTTTCCACTTCCCCAGGTTATTCACAGCTACAGCCTGAAAACTTTATCAGTTACTAATGCAACAAATAAAGCAGGAAAGTATTAGTCTACAAAATACAATGGAGGATGGGTCTTGAACCTCTGAAAGTTTACCACCCTGAGAAGCTGCCCATTCTCGAACTGCAGACATAGTAATCTGGGACACACTTTTGCAATTAGATTTCTGAGGCACAAGAAAGAGACATATGGAAAGAAAAAAGAAAAATGTATCTCCAATTAGAAGATTTATTTAGTATATCACCCCTCGAGTTACAGCCTATGTTGCTCGGACTCTCCAAAAATATCATCGGGTACGTGTCGGATCCTCCAAAAGTAGTGCATTTTTGGAGGATCCAACATGGGTGCGGTAGTATTTTGGAGAGTCCACGCAACACAGGTTACATCAACTTCCATGTTAAATTATAGAAATGTGTATGACAAAGTGTTAGAGACTGTGTCCTAAGGAAAGAAATAATTGTTGACCTAAAATTCAAATGGCAAGATATTGATGAACATTTCAACTTAACTGTTACCTAAGTTTCTCAAATTGTACACTAAGAGTTCACAACCATATTCTCAAGAGTGTTTGCTAATTAACTTACCCGTCCACATGACTTTGAAGAAAAGCAAATTTCATTGTTGACTCGCCATAAAATGAGCAAAAAACAAGTTCTAACCTTCATTTTAACGCAAGGCTAAAACATCATTGACAGTAAAAGATACTACTCCTTTTTTTCAATTTATCACACTTCCCATTTTAGGATGTTTTAGCTTTACACACTGATTTTAATGTTTTCCTATCAATCAAACTTTTCAACTATTAATTTTATACTTTCTCCCACTATCACTAATATGATATATACTTATATATATATATATATATAAGACAAATTAACATCTTAAACTCTGTTTCCAGTCAAAATCCATGATATGAAACGGTATGGCGGGGAGTACTAATAAGGCTAATCAAAGCGACATAGAGCAGATGAAAAAAGGTTGATGCCAATGTGCAAGCCTATAACCTAGATATAGGATTGAATCTTCTATTTTTGTTAACACAAAGAAATTGAGATATGGGAAGTTGGCACAGAAATTATTTGCTCTTTTGCACCAAAAAACCATTTGTGACAGATAAATTTCTACTTAAGCAAAGCTTCACAGAGAGGAAATGTAGAGTGCTAATAGGATCAAAATCTTTCTAGACACTCACTTTTTCTACTTTAGAAATCACCTTTATTTTAAATTTAAGAGACAGAAATATAGCAACTTACTTCAAAAAATGTTTGGAGAAAAAAACTATGAAACTCAAACAACTTATTTGCTCAAATTGTTATTAAAACAAAAAAAAAATTGTTATTAAAACAAAAAAAAAAAAGAATATATAAATCCGTTGTGGAAAGAAATTTATGTCTTGCACACATGTAATCCTAATCTAGTGACTGTAAAGTATTACGGAATTAACCGTAACTCACTAAAGAAGGTCAAAGAAAATACAATTACGGGGACTTGTACAGCTTATCACTCACCTCCCTGCCTATTATCGCAATTGAAGGGACAGTTAATAGCCATGGCAACTGTCCGAACACACTGGACTCCAACGGTCTGGTGCACAACAAGATCAAGGTGGCAGCAACCATTAGCTGTTGCAGTCGAGAAGACAGTTATATAAAAAATCCTAACATCATCCTTACAAGAAAATACACCACCATGTCTCATGCTTATAACCTGCAATTTTGCTAGTAAACTAACCAAAATTGCAGGCAAGCATGACAATCCAATTGAAACAGAACAATAGAGAATACCTTGTCAGCGACTGGATCTAAAAATGCACCAAAGGCAGTTCCTAAGTTCATCTGAGCATGTCAAACAATCTAAGATTGTGATATCCAAAATATGGGAAGTAAGAAATCCAGAAGAGATGATAATATGAAACTCAAAACAGCAGAAATGAGAACCTTGCGAGCAAGGTATCCATCAAGCCAGTCAGTTATTGCTGCTGCAATAAATATGGCCGTTGTAGCAGTTGGGCCCCACCAGCTATCAACATAGAATGCTAGATTAAACAGAATACAAGATCAGTTATATAAAATACCAATTGCAAACAATGTATACTCTCATTTATCAGCATGAGGTTCTGCCACGAATCGAAGAATGCTACTATACAAATTAAAACAGATCTTATATTTTTATTACCTTCCATCAAAAAAAGAAAAACATATCTTCTATTTCATCAACATTTTCAAGACGGCTGGATAAACAGAAAGAACATGCACAAGGGATTGCCAATAAGTAAACATTTCAATGATCTACTCATGCATGAAGCCACAAGACACACTATATTGACACTGGCACTTGTGACCTATGGAGGTCCACCTATATTAGCTTCATGCATAACTACCTCCCCACACCCCATTTATGGGATCAAACTGGGTTTTTTGTTATTGTTGTTGTTGCAGCATAGCCAGTCCCAAGCCCAGATAAAGACGGGGTCTGTGATAGGTTGATGGTCAGTGTATAAAAATTCCGAACAATGAGTAGTCTCTAACTATAGAAGGAACGGGCTAAACATTATGAAATAGATTACAGGACTTATATAGCTCGCCTAACTAGTTTGAGCTTGAAGCTTGATTGATCAATTGACTTGTGACCTAACTAGACCATGTCCAGCAAATTTCCAAAACGAACTTATAAAGCTACACCAAATCAAACAGAACTATGCAAGTGGGAGAAACTATAAAGGCATAGAAAAGCCCACGATGCATACCTATATGCAGTATGGTTGGATAAAGATCAGGTTACACAAGAAATTCACTAACTAGATGCACCTATATGGTTCCGGTCAATAGCCAACAAGAAACAACTACACCTTAGTCCCAAACAAGTTTGGGTCGGCGATATGAATCCTCATATCATCCGTTCAATAGCCAACATAGTTTATTAATGCTATACTTAGTTGCTAACTGGAAAGCTTTGTAACAACTCAGAAGTGACCTGCACAACGTAGTGCATAAATATCATCAATTTGCAGAATTCGACCGAGTTTGCTATTTTCTACTGAACTTAAACCAAAATTTGCAAAGGTGTAAGCTTCTCCAGTGTCTTAGACCATGTGCAGCCATACTTCAACAAACTTCGAGTAAATATTCCAAATAACTACTGCATTGTTTTCGGACATGAACAAAATTTATGATTTTCGAGGGATTAGCAAATCACGATAATGCTAGGTTTATTCCTCGCTCAACACCGAAATAGACCCCTCTAGTGGAAGCATTCCCTTCTTCCAAAGTTGAAGGTCTTTACTATTTATGTTGGTGGTGTCTAGGCCAGTGGCGGAACTAGAAATGTATGCAAGGAGATTCAAAAAAAAATT